GATTAAACTGACATTTGAAGCCACTCGGTCATTGTGACCTTATTCTAGCATCTCCAGCAGAAGGAAGGGTCAAGGGCAGAAAGCTAGCTTCACCAAGGTCTGGTTTCTTTTATTCTCAGCAGACTTGCCATAACTTCTCATTGATGCAACTGAGATCATACCCACACCTACACTGGCTGAGGGGCACAAATAACTGTGATTCAACTATATCAACCTTGATTAAACAGTCATGACTTCCATTCCTTGCAAATGAGGAGGAGTCGATTTCCCTCAGAGCACAGGACTCCACCTGCTACCTGAACAAAACCTGAGGAGAGTGAGTGTGAAGATGGGAAGCACAAATGTCTGCTTCAGTGCTCCCTCTCCTATCAGACTCAAAAGAAATGGAGGGGTGGACAGCTGGTATCTCTAAACCTGGGCGACTCATCTACTGCCAACCAAGAAGAGACTGGACTCACTCCTTTTTTTCAAAAAATTCCTGAAACAGAGATTACATAATTCCTTTCAAGAACATTTTATGGGGACTAACTAATCTTATTTCTTGGAATATCCACTTATCTTCTGTTTTAACTTTTCAAAATTCCTTTAAAAATACAAATTGATACATGTGGTTTTCAGCAAAGTTCAGAATGTTTTGAAACATAATTATTAAATTTATTAAGAAAGAACTATTTGAAATGTAGTTGAATCATCGCACTATGAAATGCTGATCAATAACAACAAACAAATGAAGCTGTTAGATTTTAAATGAAATTTAGCTTAAGGGGGAAAAAATACTTTAAAAAAAAACAAAGAAATATTGAAATCAAAGAGATTAAAAATATATTTGCCAAGATAGTAGTAAAACAAAGCTGGTGTAACGATTCAAATTTGAGTCAAAAGCCTTACCAGAGATTAGCAAGGACATAAATACTGCCAAAAGGGAAAACCCACCAAAAAAAATGTAATAAACTTGTATATACCTGGCACATTGCTTCAAACTATAGGAAGCAAAGTAATCGAATTATTGGGAGTTCATAAACTCACAGTAATAGCGGAGGGGTTTATTATCGTATTACTAGAACCTGATAGATCAAGGAAAGCAAGCAGATAAAATAGCAAATTTGGGATCACAAATTTTTGCCCAGTTCATTCCCATTCATTTAGTTCATAGGTTTTTCTTCTACTGCCTTGGTTGGTTCTGTTAATGTGCCAGGGCACTGACAATAGCACATACTCTCTCCTTACTTTTGAATCTAATTGGAATATAATGACAATTTTAGCATTAAGTATCATGTTTGCTATAGGTTTTTAATGAATACCCAGTTAGGTTAAGGAAGTTGCCTTCTGTTTCTAGTTTGCAAAGATTTTTTTCAAATAATGAATACATATTTTACCAAATACTTCCTCCCTATGAAAATCACAGGGTTTTTTTCTTTATATGTTGGTTAATAGATCATTTTTGGTTTCAAATTATTCCCACAGTTCTGGAATACAAATCTTTTTGTAGTGTTATGTTGATATGCCATTGACATGTGTAAGGTGAAATTAGTTTCATTTTTCTTTTAATTCTAATGTGTTTTTCCAATTCTGACTTCAAGTTTAAGAGTAACCTCATAAAATTAGTTGGATTTCTCACCTTTTCTGTTTCATGAAACAGTTCACATACAAAAGGAACTTTAACTCTAAATATTTGATGAAGTTATACTGTGAACTATCACTCTAATATTTTTGCTGAAAGGAAATATGATTGGTAATTCAATTCGGTAGTTATTAGTTTAAGTTTTTTATTTTGAGTGAAATATCCATCCAAGTTTTCAAATTCATTGTTATTAAATAGTTCATAATATTCACTTGTGACTTTCAAAGTCTACCTGTAATTTTGATGCCCTTTTCAATTCTTTTATTTGCTGGTATACAATTGAAGCTCCAGCTCTTTTCTTTTCTTTTTTTGAGACAGATTCTCACTTTGTCGCCTTTGGTAGAGTGCTGTGGCATCACAGCTCATAGCAGCTTCAAACTCTTGAACTCAGGAAATTCTTTTGCCTCAGCCTCCCGAGTAGCTGGAACTATAGGCACCAGCCACAATGGGGTCTCACTCTGGTTCAGGCTGGTCTTGAACCTGTGAACTCAGGCAGTCCGCCCACCTCAGCCTCCCAGAGTGCTGGGATTACAGGCATGAGCCACCGCACCCAGCCCACCAGCCCTTTTTAATTAAAAAGAAAAAATTGTAGAGAAGATCGATAAAAGAGGTCATCAATAGCCAGCCCTCTGTATCTTCTATATCCATAGGGTCTACAGATTCAGCTGACTGTGGATCAAAAATATTTGGGGGGAAAAATAACAATACAACAATAAAAATGATAAAGTTTTAAAATACTGCATAATAGCTATTTATATACCATTTATGTTGTATTCAGTATTATGAGTAATCTAGAGATGATTTAAAGTGTACAGGAGGATATGCCAAGCTTATATGCAACTGCTGTGCCATATTATTTAAAGGACTTGAGCATCTGAGGGTTTTTGTATCTTCTGGGGTCCTAGAACCAATCCCCCTCAGATACTGAGTAACAGCTGTATGTGGTTGTCTGATAAAATTAATAAAGTGTACATTCCTCTCTTTAAATCCAGAAACGAAATAAGAACATACAAATAATATTAGATGTAATTTAAGATCCTTTCCAATTATAAAATTCTATGATTTTATAATTACAGATTATCAAGTTTCTACCAGGTTGCTTTTCCTCTTTGTCATCCCATATGGTAAACCCTTGGATAAGTGAGGGATGGAAACAAGTCTCTGGGTCTTACTTGGCTCATGTGCTCATTTGCTGGTCTAGTTAGAGGAGAATAAATAGCTGAACTGATTGACTCTAATGTAGACTTGGCTCACACAAGGCAGTGCCATAATGAGCTCCTACTGAACACCTATAGCGTAACAGGGACTGTGATCCAGAGGTGAAACTAGACACATACCCTGTCGTCAACAATGGCAGCCTCTGGGGCAGACGGATAAGAAGTTACACAAACGATGATGAAGAAAAGCACTATGCAAGGGAAGGGTAGGGCTGCAACAAGGGACAGCTGGAGTGTGGGAGGATGATGTGAACGGCGTGTCTGAGGGTCAGAACTGGCCTCGGGAGTGGGAAATGATGTCTGGGAAAAGTAGCAGATGTGTTCAAGAAATCCAGTGAACTGGGTTGACCTGAGTCTGGAGAACATCAGAAAGAGGTAGAAACTTTGAGGAATTGGGGGTTTATCCTGGGAGCAACTGGAAGCCATCAGATGGATTTGGACACCACTGCTGGTTAAGCCCTGAAAAGCCTGCATCTCAGCAACCACCCATCTGTAGTCCTCTTCTTACTTTCAAAATGAAATTGTATTTCTCTCTCTCAAAAAAGCAAGGACCTCTAGTAGCTATCCCACATCTGATATCTACCAATTAGTGGAGTAAATATTTGTTCTATTCATTTAAACCATGACTTGAAACTTTTTGGATTTGTTAGCTTGACATAGGTTTGCAATACAAAAATTGTCTGGGTTGTTCTTTTTAATTCCATGGTTTTAAAAAATGTATTTACTATAATGTATATTTTGAAAGTGTCTTGGAGGGATATGTTTTGGCTGATGGCATTTTTATCATACTGACTGAAGACACACGGGCTTGGTTAGTGCACCTTCTCCCATTTCTCTGCCCCCTTACTTCATATCAGAACCCAAAAAGTGTTGGATTAATTGAAGAGGAGATTTCATTCTAATTCTAACAATTCTAATTCTTAACAATTCTAGCCTCTAGTCTATAAATCTCTCTAAATTTCTATATTCTTTAAGGGTCAAAAAGGTATTGTCAAAAGGAAAAGCAACTTGTGAGACACCAAACTCCTGTCATCTCCTATTGTTACAGTAACCCATGGGTTATTTATCACAGCATTCTGACTTAGCTCTACCAGAGAAAACAGGGCATTTTGCAGGAGCTGAAGTATTTTGTCAAGAGCACCTAGATGGTAGCTTTATTGCGTTTGTTTGAAATGTGTGTTCTAAACTGATGCATTTGTTTGACAACTTTATTGACATTTCACGTTGAATAATCATTTATGTTTGAGTATTTAGTTCTTCAGAGGTTTTGCCATTTAAAAGTTTTATACTTTTCTTGATCCACGATTTACCAAAGTTCATAGTGATATCAGGCTTGACATCAATCAATTTATAAATTTACCCTTCTAAAAAATATATAGCTTTATCAGATATCCCCTTAGGTTTCATAGTTATATAATGAAACTTTTTTTTTATTGTGGCAATAACTTATAGACCAAAACTTATATATATAAAGAGATATAAAGAGTTGTGATATTTTATATATGTGTGTGTATGTGTGAGATACTACATAAACAAATGTAATTTATAAACATATGTAATTTTAAGTGTCTATCCAATATAATGGTGAATAGCTGAGCTAATAAACTGGAAAAATAGAATAAAGTGGGACAAATGACTATATTTGTGTTTATGACATCCTTTAAAGGCATAATTTGAAAAATAACTCCTTAAATGACTGATTATCAGTCATTTATTTTATACCAACAAATAATGGCATTACTAAATGAAATAGGCTATTTGATAGGCTGTTATTTATTTTTTTGCTAAAATGGCTTCCTGGAAGTATCACAAGAAGTTAATGAATTATGTGTTAATTAAGTTTGAACTCTTCTCTAGTGAAAAAGCTGAAATATGATATATTCAAGTTACTTTATGCCAAATGGAACATTAATGGTGATATTAATATAATACATGGTAATGTTACACATGAATATGTTAAGAATCTGTAATATTCATCCTGGAATTTACTAATTTTGCATATTGATTTATCTTTTAAGTTCCTTTTGTTCCTGAAAGTTTAAACATTGAAATAATGTTTTATCAGCAGTTCCTGATTAGCCAAGTGAAACTTTCTATGCAAGATTTAAATATTCTCATGCAACTAACAAGTCCATCTATCTTTTCTTCTCTTGTTTTGTTAGCCTCTTAGCAAATACCCTGCTGTGATAAACGACATTTCATTCTGGTTGCCTTCTGAGAATTACGCAGAGAATGATTTCTATGACTTAGTCCGGACGATTGGAGGAGACCTGGTGGAAAAGGTTGATCTTATAGACAAGTTTGAACATCCAAAGTAAGTGAAAAGTTTTCTGATTCTGTCCTTTACTGTCTCCGTGTGACAAATGTCATATCGTAAAATTTTGCTGATACTCAATGTGCCTGAGACAAAATGTCTTCTCCATTTGTAGAGAATGTGTGCTTATCAGAAAACTCTTTTATATCAGTTCTCTCTGGAAATCTTTCTAAAATGCATTTTCCATTTTTCCTGCCTTCATAAAGAACGTATATGAAACAGAATGTTGTAAAGATCTTGCAGTTTTTCAGTATTGTTTGTTGAAGTGATTTCTTACCATATCATGTTCCAGGTACAGCGGAAATGAGGCAAAGAAGGCTGTTTTGTTGGTCTCTCATATTTATTAAGTACCTACCACAAGCCAAGACCTAGATTACTGGGTCCCAGGAATTGTGTGCCAGATGGACTTAGCTGTCTGCTTTCTTAGAGTTTACAGTCTTGTGGGAGAGGCAGATATTAAATATATAAATACACGCTGTGTAGTGAGTATTATGAGAGAAAAATGCAGAAGGTGTAATTAAAGAACTCATTTCAACTGGGGAGTCCGCACAGGCCCCTTGAGCCACATAAGCTGGGAACAAAAGTGTGATATGTAAGAGAGGGCAAGGGGCATCCCAGAGAGCACGTGGAGCCCTGGGGGGAAAGATGTGCCACAGGAAGTAACCAAGGACACACACAGCAGCTGGAGGAGTTAGGGGAAGGCGGGTGGAGTGGTGACTGTGAGGTGGAGATGTGTTTACAGGGGCAGGCAGTGCCAGAACAGTCACCACCTGAAATTTGGAATTTTGTCCTCATTGAAGGTGGAAGCCACAAAAGGATAGGAGTGGAGAGATGAGAGATGTGATCTAATTTACCTGTCCGACTTGTCACCCAGAAGGGGCAGTCACCAAGCCTTCTATACAACTCCCATCTTCCTTCTCCCTTCCCCCGAGTTGTCATTGGCTTCCACATTCTACACTGTCATTCAGATTTCCACCTTTTCCCTTCTTTATTCATTTATTCATTTATTTATTTATTTATTGCAGTTTTTGTCCAAGGCGGGGTTTGAACCCGCCACCTCCAGCATATGGGGCCAGTGCCCTACTCCCTTGAGCCACAGGTGCCGCCCCCCCTTCCTTATTTTTTGAAGTCTTTCTTCTTTTGATAAAGATGTTCCATGCTCACTGCCAGTTCTTTTGCCTCAGTTTCCCCAGTTATCGGAATGACTAAAGTTCACCCTCTGAAAAGTCTGCTTACAGACTCGCTTGTGGAAGCAATATTCCCTGAGCTCTTCTTACGCGTTCCAAACCGCTTATACTTGAATGACAACCTGGTTGGATGTGGCTTGCCCTTCCTTTTATTGAGGATCTTCTAAGTATTGCTCCCGTTGTCCTCTGGAGTTTAATTTGATATAAAGAAATCTGAGGCCAGACTTCATCTTTTAGCTTTGTGTCCTAAAGGATTCTTTATCTTTAAAGTCTAATAACTTTCTCGGGATCCACCTCAGTGTTATCCTGTTCTCCCTGGGATATGTCATTGCCTGTCACACATCAGATTCAACTGCTTTGATTTTGGGGAAGTTTTCCTGGATTGCGTCCCTGGGGATGTGTTCTGACCCACTGTTCTTTCTGTTCTGTTTAGTTCTTCAGGGCTCCCACGTGTGCCTGAGTAGGTGCTCCTTTGTCTGACTTCTCTGTCCCTGTTACGTTCTCTCTAACGTTTTGACACTCTTTATTTCCACTTCAGGTGGTATGCTGAGCTCACTATGTCTTCTGTCCCTTACCGCACTTTCTGCTCACTTCTCCCTAGCGCACCTTCCATTTCCATCTGCAGTTACTTTGTTTTTCACCCTTTTCTGAGTTCTGCAAGCTCACATTTCAGTTCCTTCTGTTTTCTTGCCATCTCTCCTCTGAGTTGTTTCTGCTTTGTGATCTTCCTTCATAGACAATTTGCTTCACTTAGTTTTTAAAATTCATTGTAAAATATTTAGCCAGAAATTTCATATGCTCCAGTGGCAACATTTTTCTATGACTTTTCTGTTAGTAAGCTTTCCTGTCATTTTCCTCACTTTTTCCCCCTTAACTCTTTTTTAATAGCTCTATCAATCGTATACATACATCTGATTGCCTTTTTGAATGCGTTGGGTTCCCTGAACCAGCTATTTGCACAAGATTTGGGGGTTGGCAAAGCAGGGAGGGTTGGGGCAGTCATTCAGCCTGGCTTGTTTTCACACCCTTCAGGCTTTACTGCCAAGAAACCGACTCTGTCTTTAAATACGACTCATCTCTTTGATTTTTTGTGTGGGTCTGTTTCCCACCCCAAATCTACACTTGTTGGAAAGAGAAGATTTACCTTTGCTTACCCCGGTATCAACCCTTGCTTATCGGGACTTTGCACTTTATAACCCTTTCCTCTGGGAATAAATAAATAAATAAATAAACCCACATATTTTTGCTAGAATTTTCTGAGCTACGCCACTCTGTACTTCTCTTCATCACTGCCTCCCATTTGGCTCCTACTTGATTTCAGCTGCTGTTGGCAGCCTTGAAATATATTTTGGAACTTGCAGATGACATCTGTCTCCTAACTTCTCGGAAAATAGAATGTATGGGGTATCCTGGCTCCTCATGCTATGAGTGCCAATTCAGCCCTGGACTTTCATGTGGGAGAGAAATTTCCAGGAGTTTCCAGGTTGATACTGAAAGTCTGGTTATTTATTTCTGAAGAGGAAGAAAAATATTGGAACAAGACTGATTACTAAGTACCAACTGATGCATTAAAGGCATATGACTGCCCCCCCCCATTTCTTTTTAATAAAAGTTGAGTATCCCTTACCTAAAATGCTTGGGACTAGAAGTGTTTCAGAGTTTGGACTTTGTTCAATTTGGAAATATTTACGTATACATAATGAGATATCTTAGGGATGGGACCTAAGCCTAAACATGAAATTTATTTGTTTCAGCTGTCACCTTATACAAATAGCCTAAATGTAATTTTAATAATATTTTTAGTAATTTTGTGCATGAAATGAAATTTGTGTACATTGAAACATCAGAAATCAAAAGTGTCACGTCGATGTTCAGAAAATTTCACCTCTTGGAGCATTTTGAGTGTGGATTTACAGATTAGGGATCCTCAACCCGTATATAGAAAACTCTCTGGAATCAAAGATTCAGAATTCACTCTTAATTTTTGACTTCACAGTCTCTTGCTCTCTGATATGGCCTTAACTCCACACCCTGCCTCTCCTGCTGCCTATGTTAAAAGTCGAGATGAGTATCTCTTTGGAGTTGCTTACAAAGAGCTACTAAAAACTTAAATAAAAATCAAGGAAGCTGAGAGAAATTTCTATTATGCTGGGTGTGAAGATAGATGAGGCTCAGTGTAGGGGGTAAATATTGAGTCTTACTGACTTGCAGAGATCTAGGTAAATGCTGAATGGGCTTAGTAATTGGAGAGATATGCAGTGGGAGTGAGGGAGTGTCCAGGTGCTATGGATCCAGGACAGATCAGGCAGACAGGCAGTTCATTAAAAAAAAAAAAAATCACTGGCTATATTAGAAATACTCAACTGATGGAGACGTTACATTTTTGTATTACCCTGGATCGCGTTGAAGAACATCCTCCCTAGTCAAGTATCACAGGATTGGAAAAGCAAGCATCCAATGTACCTACCCTCTCCTACCAGCTCCTGGTTTGAGAGGGCAGGTACACTGATGCCCCCAAGCCAGTTGTGTTTGTAGACTCCCTCCTCGTGCCCGAGGCTGCAGTTTACTTGCCACATCCTGTTTATACAGTCATAGACAGGGTTTCCTGAACCCATGAACTGGCAGTCAGAGCTGGGGTGTCAGAGGTGAGCACTCCAAACTGTAGGTCCCTAAAGGTGACCCTCAACTCCTCTCATCCCTACTTGGTCTTCCTAACAGTTATAGTCCCTTTTGTGACCTACAGTCACTTACAGTTTTAAAAATTTGGCATATGTGGATATAGAAGAACAGTTGTCACCATGTTTAACAGAATTCTCTGGAGCATCTTCACCATGAGAATTACCTGTTCAACACAGCCTATCTGGCTGCTGCTGCTTCTTTTTTTTTTTTTTTAATTAAATCATAGCTGTATACTTTAATGCAATCATGGGGTACAGTGTGCTGGTTTTATATACAATTTGAAATATTTTCATCCAACTAGTTCACAGCATTTTCTTAGTTTTGTGTTAAGACATTTATATTCTACACTTAGTAAATTTCACATATATCCTTATAAGATGCACCGTAGGTGTGGCGCCACGGATTACCTCTCTCCACCCATCCTCCCCCACCCCTTCCCCTCCTTCTTGGTCTATAATTGGGTTATAGCTTTCATAAGAAAGCTACACATTGGTTTCATAGTAGGGCTGAGTACATTGGATACTTTTTCTTCCATTCTTGAGATACTTTGCTAAGGAGAGTATGTTCCAGCTCTATCCATGTAAACATGAAAGAGGTAAAGTTTCTGTCTTTCTTTAAGGCTGCATAATAATCCATAGTATACATATACTACAGTTTATTAATCCATTCATGGGTCGACGGGCACTTGGGCTTCATCCATGACTTAGCTATTATGAATTGGGCTGCAATAAACATTCTGGTACAAATACCTTTGTTATCATGTAATTGGTATTCTGGATATATACCTGGTAGAGGAATTGTAGGATCCAATGGCAGGTCTATTTTTTGATCCCTAAGTGTTCTCCAAACATCTTTCCAAAAGGCACATATAGTTTGCATTCCCACTCCCACCTGGCTTCTGAGTGGGCTGAGTCATGGACATTGACCTGGTCACAACTGTCCATTGTGTGTGCTGTCACAGCATTTGGTGGGACAGTACATGTGAATTCTCCTTTCCTCCTCCTTTCCTATGGTTTCCCTGACTTCTTTTTCTTCCATGTGTTCATTTGTTCTCACTTTGTCAAACTAAGGCCTACAGAAGTGCTACTGAGATTTGCCCATATCCTTTAATGGAGAATGTCTCATGTTTCTCAT